CTGGGGGCAGACCAGAGAAGCCCCTCCCAAACCTGAGAAGCATTAGTTAATCCACTCCATTGCCCAGTTCCTCCCAGTTCCTTCCGTCCTCCTCCAAGTTTGTTCTGCTCTTATCAGAACACAGCAACAATTCTTAGTGCACAAGCAGAACGAGCTAAGTTATTTGTGTTTCTGATACTCCAAACTTTATAGAGATTTGATGCATGACACCCGAATTGGACAGAATTTCACGCAGGACAAGAGAGTGAGTGGCTGTAGGTGGAGACTCTCCTGCAGAACCCCTCTCCAGCTGAAGCTTCAGCTTTGCACTGCCAAATGGAGAAAGAAGCACTTCTTCATAGTGCCTTATTGAGTTTTTGTGCTGTCAAAATAACAGCTCCTACAGAAGTAACATTTGCCTGAATATTTTTGAGTGTTCATCTCTCTAAAAAATTGACAAAAAGCTCATAATCCTAACATGAGGAAATGTTGATAGCAGTTTATTTTACACAGCAGATAATATTCAATTAGAGCATACTTTTTGCCACAGCACATATTTTATAGTATCTGAACCTGTATAAATATTTGTAAGCATATTTACCCAACATTTTCTCTATTGCTCTGAGGTTTCTAAATTTGCCAGTCTTTTAAATTTAAAACTCTCTTAATTAGAGACTGGTTGTCAAATGGATGTTCTTAGCGGAGACAGAGGCCATAAGAGGAGCACAGCAACTAGCATTAATGGGAAGACTTACCTTAATAGAAGAAAAATGTAGTATTTAAAATGACCAGTGAGAGGAAACTGAGCATCATCAAATGCTTGGATTCATCTAACAGGGAGGGCACTCATTTTTTACTCTGAAAGCCAGAATTTTGACTAATTATTAAGAAGCTTCTGCACACGGCACTTAACACAATGCTTCAGGAAGAGCTTTTAAGAAATAGCTTTTCAAAACTGGCCTTTCATTTTTCTCCATGTGCACAGAAACATCCTTGCTCCTGTCACTGACTGGCAGCCTGGAAAGAGTTCCAAGGTAACAATGAAAGCCTGGTTTTATGTCATCAAAAGACTTCTGCAGAACACCCAGTGCTTTCTGACATAACAAATCTCTCCTACTAAACTCTTCAAGTATACACAACAACTAGAAAGAGAAAAGTTTTAATGTCTTTCAAGTCTCTCATAGGAGATGCTGTGTCAATACCAGTGATCCATGTCACTGCTGCTGTAATATCCAAATGCCTTGCAAACATTTGCATCCTGAAAGCTAAGTGAGCACTACCTACCACACATTACAGAATCACAGAATGTTAGGGCTTGGAAGGAACCTCTGAAGATCGAGTCCAACCCCCCTGCCACAGCAGGACCAACACAGAACATTCCAATGCTTTCCTTCAGTAGCAGCTCAGGTTACACTTAGACACGGATAAATACATTTTTTTTTTTAAATCAAGGACAACCCTTTCTCTAACACTTAACTAAGCAGAACCCACACTTGAGGGTGGCAGGTTAGATATGCACAGTACACTGCAGCAGACATAGATAACTGAGACACTGGTGAATTTCAAACCAACAAGTTTCAAGATACAGCAAAATTTATGAGCAACAGGACTTGTTTGGCCTTACAACAAAATTTCAAAAAATTACTGTTATCAAGAAGTGCACAGGGGAAGGGGGGGAGGAGGAAGGGTTAAACACAGCAAATAAGAAAAGCTAGAACAACACTGGCACACAGAAGAATGTATAAGCTAAGCACAAATAAATTTAGGGTGGAAAATTGATGTTTTCTAGCCATGAAACAGTGAATCTGATCAGAGCTGTAGGGTCAATGCATCCATCTGTTCTGCTGGAGCTCAATGAATTTATTATAGGATCAACTAACACTTCTGCAAAGATAGCCTCTGGGTCCAATCCCCTACTATGTCTGTGCTACTACACACAGACAGGGCCAGGGACAGCACCTTGGCCCTGAGGACAACTGGCACAGAGGAGCTCACACACTCATCCTACTCACGCCTTGCTCCATCGGCACTATTAGCACTTGGCCTCGGCTTTCCTCAAGGCTCCACATCTCAGCAGTCTCACATCTCAGAAGTCCCAAGGCATCCGATACTTATTTTGTATGCCTCAGTTGAAAGTGCATAAAGAAATTAGATTACTTGTTTTGCAGCCCACCAGAGCGGCGTTTTCACAGCATGAAGCACAGAGCATTGCGTATCTCCCAGCCTGGCCTGAGGGATGGGGGAGAGCTAAGCATACCATCTCAGCAGGCTTTGCCTTAGAGGCCTATACAGGATGGCAGTTTTCTTGCAACCTTTTTTCCACCTCCCCAAGAAGATTCTGAGTGAGCGATACTCAGACTTTGTTCTGGAGAAAGCCAGTCAGTGTGGTCCAAAACAGATGGGGACTGAGCTAATGTTTATGCCTAACCTACAACAGTACATAAAACCAGGTGGTCAGCACTGGATCCACCCCAAGCCCTTTTCTGTAGGACTGCAGATGCATGAAGTAGCTCTAGAAGACATCTTCCAGGTCACATACACAATTGTCATCAGCTTAATCGAATAAGTTACATTGCAACTTTAGAGATGAAGGTGCCAGCATTCCCACGAAAAGATAATGGAGCACACAGTAAGATTGTACCATCTCTGAACAAGCTGCTCAGGAAAAAGCAAGGATAAGAAGTTCAATTTACACAGATGCTGTGATGATTACCAAAAGCGGAAAGGAAAACATGACAGTTTAATGAGATTTTAGCAGCAATTCTATGTGTCTCTTTACGTCTACCTGAATTTTTTTAAGCAGAAGATTTTTTTTAATATATACTTGTCTGGTCTGTCAACTGTGCCATCAAGATTAATAAGAAACTGCTAGAGTTTAAATGATCCGTGAATTACAAAATAGGTCGTTTATTCATCACAGCAGACACTTTATGTTACAAAGTTGTGACTTTTTAATGAGGTGAAGACTAAGATTCTTGGGGGGAAGGGCAGTAGTTAGACCAAGTCCTAGAAATTAACTCATCTCTCCAGGCTGTTAAGTTCCTTAATGCATTTTTTAAACATCCTGTACTAGAGTTTTTTCCTCTACTGTTCATCTTTTGGAGCCAGTGTTAACAAAACAAACAAAAATATTTTCAAGTGATTTTTCACAAGGATTCCTCACAAATTCATGCATCACTTTTAGTTTAAATTGGTCAGTTTAGATTTTAGTGCCTTGAACATGCTCAGGTCCTGAAAACCACCCCCACGATCTTAGTTCAGAACTAAGACCTTACAGCAGCATAAAGATTCAAACAAAATCAATATCTGTTTTCAGTACTTTATATTTAATCAATGGTCTAACACTTATTTCCTCACTCTATAAATAAAGAGCAGTCATACCCAGTTGTACCATTACGGTACCGTCACTGTATGTAAAACCAGTGCTCCTGTGCTTTAGAGCAGACTTAAGATTTGGCCAGAGCTGGCCTTGGTATCAGGAACACATGTATTAGGAAAAAATAATATGAAACTGTCTCAAGCTTAAGAGTTAATGTTAGAGGTTATAATAAACTGATAAACTGACAAAGTGCTGGAGTTTTAAGGACTCAAAATATGAAACTGATAAATTATGTGCTGAACCACTGCAAACCATCTTTCACTTCAATGCTATGGGAAACCAGAAAATGTAATGCTGGTTTTTAGAGATATCCCTGGATGAATACAGTCAAAACTCATGCAAGTCTAATTTCTGTATCAGACCAGTTGTTAGAAGCTACAAGTAAAAAATGGAATTAGTAGGCAGAGATAAATACTGTGCACTGGAAAACAAGGTCTCTTTACAAAAGCTTGACTCTGGTGCTCATTTCCCCTCACCCATGCAAGGGGAAGGGAAAAATTTTCAGGGCTCTTAATCAGTTTTGTGATTTTTCTCCATGCCATTCCTGAGCCCAGGACAGGCTGAGACACAGCACAAGATGAAGGAACTCTTAATATCCATTTTTCCTGTGCCCATGTCTTTTTCTGCATTGATCTCACCCCACAGAGGTGCAGCAGGAGCTAGTGTGGAAGCAGGAAGATGAAGAAGGGGGATTTAGGTGAGCATACACTCGACTCCCCACTTCCTTACTATCCTAACTACAGTTCCTCCCTAACACTAGCTATTGCAGGCCACAAAGCAGCTCTCAACTCCACTTCCAAGCCCAGCAGACAGCACTGATGGCATGAAGCCTGAGGTAGCTCAGCAAGTTGACTCCTTGGTTCCTGCAAACCATGGCTGGCCCAGCACAGTAACCACACAGTCCTGCTGACAGGTGCTTTGAGACTTGCAGAGGACCCTTCAAACCAGACTTGCAGAAAGCAAAACTATGCCTGCTGCAAAGACAAGATCCAAAGCAGCACTCAGCCAAATTAATGGTGAAACTGTCCTTGCTCTTCATTCCTTTTGACCATTTAGTAAATGTGAATCAAATCAGAAGCTGAAATAACAAAATACTTCATCCATAGCAGGGCAGACCCACTGCACACCAGATGAGGCAAGAATGGCTTGGAACAATAGAATGCAATCACTACTTCAAGACAAAATTAAGCTCCTTCATAGTATGTATTGCCTATGCCATCCACACCCGAGCACTGGAATTTCCCAAAAATGCTGGAGTTTACGATTTTAATGTCTGTATTTTAGACCTTATTATCTGTTTTACATATACATGCTTTCTGTAATTTCTGTGGAGAACACATAGAAGCAGCAATCATCTGCATATAGTAAAACTGTGTGCCAATGACCTGGATTGTATTTATGAGTTTTCACTAAACAATCCAAAATGCCTAATCATTTATGAACATACTTCACCAGGAAGTCAGTCCTTCATGAAGACAATTTTAATTTATTTTCAGAGCTGTGTTTTTTATGCTGATACACCACATACAGGCACATTAAAAAAAACAGGTGAGTGGAAGAAAAACTGATCAATGTTTTACCAGCTGAGCTTTCATATATACAGATGTCACAAGTCTTACCTGTCAACCATAGGAAACCTTACCATAAGGGTATTTTGTGTCTAGTTTATGTGCTGCTGTTCTTGCCCAGGGTAGTACATCATCGCTGCAGCCATTAGGCATCCCATTGTATCCAATTCCAACAATCTTATTTTCCGAATTTACAATGCAGGCACCAACCTAAATAAAACCAGATTGATATAGTACCAACAGCACGTAAAACCATCCATCAATAAGAACGATGAGACCTGAAAATCAGTCCTACCATTTTAATTTAAGAGATGCAAGCTTCACTTTACATTAAGTCACATCATCTAGTGAGCAAGGCTACAATTGTACTTAATTGGTGGAGCTTTAAAATAAATCCAGGCAGATGCAACCCTGCTACCCCTCTGGTCACGCAGTCCCCATCCCAGCCTGCCAGCACTGCTCCTTGTCCAACTAGAAAGTGAACCTAGTTGAGGGAGCAGAATAGACATTGAATTAGCCAAATCAAATGTAAGTTTTCTGCCAGTTCAACCCCCCATACTAGCTTTTCCAGCAGCAGTATAAGCAGCAGCAGCAAAAGAGAAGATATGGAAGATGGAACAGAAATGCAGTAGTGTTGACCCAGGCAGAGAAAGGCTCACAGACCTCTGTGGCTTGTTTATGCCAGCGTGCACCAAAATACCAGACCTCTGAACTCCCATCCTTTATTACTTCAGTTCAAGTCTGCACAGGGACCCTTCTTACAGAATGATGAAGTGTCCTTGTTTTATGTTCTCTGCCTTTATTTTAGATTTATTGAAATGGCAAGAGTACTAGCTTTAAGTCATACAACCAGCTCTTGGGTAACAAGAATTGAGCCCTAAGTGAATGAACTTCAGAGAATTAATAGCCATGATGTACAGAAACCAGTGAGTAACTACAAAGACTGTTAACATGCATTTTACTCTATTGTTTTTCTGGGATTTGCTTCCTGAACTTTTTCATACAAAGGAAGACTAACAGGATGACTGGGTTCTACAGAACAGCCTGTTTCAGGTGATGTATCAATTGCCTCAAACAAATACTCAACAAAGGCACATGAGAGAAGCAAAGAATGCGGACAGACAGTGACGCAGAGGGGAAAGGGGAACCTGAGGGAGGAACTAAACTAGAAGAAAACTCCAGTCAGATCAAGAACAAAGGCAAATTTTTATTTGCTTACAAGTGAGGAAAAGGAACTTGTAAAATGCTGTGTCTTAAAAAAATATGATCTAAAACTTTCAGTAGTTTTATCCTCCTCTAGCACTAACTATATTTACAGGAAAAATGAGAGAAAACACTTGTATTATTTTAACCTTCAGATGAAAAGAAGATGTACAGAACTCCAAGGTGCAAATGTACACACAGAATTATACACGAGGTCATGCCCCGTAAGAGAATTTTTGTAACAAAAGGTGCTGACCATAGTAAAAACTGAATAGCTATATACTGAAATAACTTTTAATAAGAAATCCCTGAAAGTGCTACATGTGCATCTGATATGATGTGCAATATAGATTAGGTTATGTTATTCTTATAAATTGCCTCCTTACCTGAGAACTTGGATCCTTGCTTCTTTGTGCTGACAAAAAAGCCACTGCCATAAAATATTCAGGCCATTCCAAATAATCCTCTCTTTTTTTGGAGGATGCTTCATTGCCAAAACTACTTTATGGGAAAAAAAAACAACAAAGCAGCCATCAGCAAACAACGCATAGCTAGAGTTATTACAGATTGTATTATTTTAATATGCACAAGTTTAAAGTTACCCAGATCAGAAGCTGGCTAAGAATCATAGAATCAATCACAGGATGGTCTGCGTTGGAAGGGACCTCAAAGATAATCTAGTTCCAACCCCCCTGAATGGGCAGGGACACCTCCCGCTAGACCAGGCTGCTTAAAGCCCACACATTCACTGATGTTTTAACAGTAAAACCATCAGTGTTATGTGCTTTTCAGAAACTTATATTTGCAAAATTTCCTTTCAGAGGAAAGGCATCCAAGCAAGGTTGCAAATTTCGGTTTTAAGTAAGAAGGCTCAACTATTCAGAGCACAGATCTATTCACTTACAGACAACACTTTATTTCTAGGATTCATGTATATCGTGTACCAGCACTCTTTTCACCTAAATAACATAATCTTTTTTATGATGACTGCACCAACTGCATGCCTCTAATCTAAGCTCTTATGTACTTCTGCCTATGACAAGTGCTCACTAGATTTCTATTTGGTAGCTTCCTGTGCAGTCATTTGTTTCTGCCCACAGTTACTACCAGGAGTTTGCCTCTCATTACAACACTTACCACCAAAATTCTGTGGCCATTCTGATAGTCCCCTGCTAGGTTTCTCTTTGAGACTATGTCTTATGAAAGCCTTCTAAAATCTGAGATGAGATGGGTTCAAGAACTTTTCCCTTACATATAATGTATGAAAGTGGCACAAAAGGTTGCTTCTTTCCCTGCACTGTGGGTTTATTTGGGGGAAGGAGGAAAAAAAAAATAAAGTAATGCATCATTTTCTCTTGCCTAGTTATGGTGGAAATACTGCTCAGACAGTTTAAGAAACAGCAGAGGAATTTCTGTGCTTTCCAGCTTCAAGAGAGGAAAGAAACTACATAATTGAACTATAGGGCTGGGGCTATATCCTACTAAGAAATAAAAGTGTTCAGAGAACAAGAAGCTCACAGCAGAAACAAGAAATTAAAGACATACTCTAGGATCTCTCCATGCCAAATTAAACTTTGACAGGTTACCTAAAATGCCAAGAAAGTTCTTCAGCTAATTTAAGTGATTATTTAAAATATCTCACAAAAGCAGATTTTCAAAATCCAAAACACTATGGGACTTTAAATTATCACTTTAATACATTCCCAACTATGTGACAGTCACAGTGATGTCTCTGAAGAGGCACACAACATGAAAAGCAGAACTCCACCAAATAAAACATTCTGGAGAAAGGGCTCCAGAAGACAATAGTACTCTGAACTAAGAGATCATGAAATCTCATTTAATTAAATTATTCCCTAGCAACTCTATTTATTAAAAACACACCAAAAGCTACTATTTACTTTTCTCATAACCATAGAATTGTATATAAGTGGAGGTCCCTCAGAGTTCCAACTTCACAGGGAGAGAAGCATATCTGAAAAATGAGCAGGAGGCTTACATCAAAGAGAACATAAGAGGAAAAAAAAAAAACCCTTACTCAGTTACTTAATATCACCACGTCTAATGAGATAATTCCCCCAACTCAGCGCACAGGAATGCAGGAGTGTGAAATGGGTATAAAACACTTTATTTCTGACTGAGCAGCAGCCAAGGCCTTGGCTAGCAGTCAAGCACACACAGGAAAATTAAGTTTATGGATTTAGGGCAGTTGATCATCTTCCTTACATTGATTTGCAAGCTCTCAAATTACACGAATGAAAGCTACTCTAGCAAACATTATAGCTATCTGCAAAATAAGCAATTAAGGATTACCCTTGTGATAATTCTTAGAAACTTAAAAATAAAAGCCATGAAGATAACGTGGCTCGAGAAGAAAGAGAAAAAATAATATTTAGATTCTAGAGTGATTAGTAATCTTTAGAAAAGTCCGTGTAAACAGTATATCAAAGGAAAAAGTGAAAGAGATCCTGCAATTAAAAGGACAGTGCCTCCCTTTTAAGTTCTTTTTGATCCATCTAGGCTTCCATTAAGCTACTGCAGTCTGAAAAAGGCAGAAATTTCATTCAGCTACTAAAAAAAAAGTCTGTATTTATGAAAAATGTAGTTGAGAATCCTAAAACAGACTGTATCACCTCAGAGGACACTTATGATGGTCAGCTACCCAATACAGCACAACTGGCAAACTGGTTGTGATCAGACTTTTTAAAATCTCCCTCCTTTTTAAAGTTTTCCCTCTGCTTTCTTATCACCGATGTGTATTATGTTCCAACTGTATTGATGCATTTTTTTTCCCCAGTATCAAGTATGCTGCTGTCAGTATTTTGTCACTCAACTCACATAACTTAAGGTAAATAAAAGAGGTAAAGCACATACAAAAAAATAAAAATTAAACATCTTCAGCAATACTCTCGTCCCTCAAAAGCCAAGAGGGGTAGGTGTTCTTGATGGCATTCAGTACTAGCTTCTTCAAGTCTCCTGACTGCAGGTGGCAGTTCCTTTACAAGAGGCTTCTCACCCTTCCCCTCCCATCGGTACTGAACTGTGGTGGCTCCTTACTGAGAGGCAAGGTTTGGAGGGAGAGATGGAGGGAAAAATCAAACCTTACAGCAAAATGACACCCTAGGCAGTGAAAATTCATAGCATCATAGAACGGTTTGGATTGGAAGGGACCCAAAAGATCACCCAGCCCCCTGCGCGGGCAGGGCCCCCCCCACTAGCCCGGGCCGCTCAAAGCCCCGTCCCGCCCGGCCTTGAACGCCTG